ACCTGATACCCAGTCCGCTGTGGCGTTGCCATTGGCATTGGCGTTGCCAGCCTGGCATCATAATGAATCTAATCACTTACGCTCGAGTGCATCAATTATACTGCCATCAAGCATCACGGCCTGAACGAGGCGCTGACAAACAGACGGACGTACGGAAGGAGTCTGACAGGCGGCCAGACAAAATGACTGGCGGCTCACACTGACTCCCTGACTCCCTGACTCCCTCTGACAAGCGTGGCAAATGCGACGACCGACAACAAAAAGCCAACAGAAGCGACGAGTCCTTTGTTAACTGCGAAAATTTGTTTGCAGCGTCATCAACAACAGCAACAGCAACAACAACCACGACAAGCTCGTCAACATCAAGTTGATAACTTTATGATATATATATACATATATATGCCCCTTAACTGCCCACAGCAAATGGCAAAATCGCAGTTATGTGGGGTTGTAAAATTCTCGTGCTGCATATAGCAAATGGATTGAGTATGTATGGGAAATACACGTATAACGCTAGAAGATGTTTAGAACTACTTTATTTAAAACTTAAAAATTATAAAATAGATGCCTACATATATTCTGACTATGAATTTAATATATATATATATATATATATATATATATATATATATATATATATATATATATATATATATATATATATATATATCTGAAGAAATCTGGCTAAGAGCACAGTTTAATGTAAAAAGTAGTACGAGTATCTAGTCAGGAGTTCCCGACTAGGGGATTCCCTGAAATTGTTAGCCTGCTACTAATAATAAATAGATGAAGTTACATTGATAATAAAAGAAAATATAAACGTACGTACATAGAAGGTTACTAAGCAAAACATGAAACCCTGGTAGTGGTACTTGAAATCATGAGAATCGCATAGTAATAGCAGAGGAATTTTTGTTGATATGTAAACTTAATTTTCAATATTTTTTTAATATGCGTGCATAAATTAGCTTGTCTTAACTTTCTGAGTACTTATAGAGAATTTATTTTAATGGCTCTTCTCTGGAAGTCCCTCTCACTGAAACCCATAGTTTCCGTGGTCAGCTGTGTGGCACAAAACCACAAAAGTTGTATTTAAGCTGCTGCGTTGAACTTTTCCTCATTATTGAAATATTAAATTTCATTCGCTTTGAAGCGCAGCAAGGACAACGCCTTTAATTGCGAAACATGTGAAGACTTAAAAGTCGTCTTTTATGCGGTTGCCGTCAAAGCGAAACTCAATTAAGCGACAGCTGCCCCCGCCCACGAGAGCTTGTGCATCTGATTTAAAAGTGCTGATACGGCAGTTGGCAGCACAACAAGGACATCAATGAGGATACTTTGTCAGGGTTGCCAGCGACAACCAGAAATGCCCTATTCAAAGATATTTTTAATTGAAATTATCTGATGCTACCTTTGGTAGCAGTCAAATTTTGCGTTTTTCTGCTTTGTTGCCCTCCCAAACTGAATCCGAATCTGATTGATATATATGTATACCACGCATATCGTGGTTGCTGGCTTGGTTGGCAAATATATTGGGTGGCTGTCAACTTGTTTACAACTTGGACGCTAATAGCGGCTTTAAGTCAGCCAAGGATATGCCATAAATCCATGTTAATAACGCCAGGCGATCATCGAAGACCCCCTTTTATTTTTTTGGCCTGCTGCTGAGGCTGGCGAAATTCATTCCCCGAGACGCAAATTCAAAGACATTTAAGTAGATTAAGCGACTTTCATGTTGTCCTCCTCCTCGATGGCAGCCATCAACCCAAATGAACGTCGACAGTAAAACAATTCACCAGGCACGCCCGGTGCAAAGGACTTGAGCACGATACGGCAACGACAACGACATCGACGACAGGACATAAAGCCTGCAATATGCCATGCCACTCTAAAAGGCGACTCTCAAATATGCAAATAGCTCTCGAGCATGGGCGTGGCTCAATGGGCGTTGCAGCAGCAAACAATGAAAGTAAATGCCAAAACATTTTATTGATTATCAGGCGAAAGCTGAGACGGCGGCAAAGCGCACAGTGTGTTGACTATTATTTGCATGACAACAAAAAAGCCTATGACGAAATAATTATTAAGCTGTTTTAAATGTATTATTGGATTATAAGTTAATGGTCCACGATAAATTCGCAATAAAGATGTTCAATAATTAAAAGAAAGAAGTTTTCAGTTGGGTTTTTCTAACTTCCATTTAAAAAGAGCTCACCTGTAAATGCAATATTCACAGATTTCTTAATATTTTTCTTCTCTTCTATCCTGCACACATAAGGGAGGTAAAATTAATTTAGTTCTATACATTTCAATGTGTCGTATAATCACGAACCCAACCTAAAGGCTGGTAGTCGGTTCGAGCTGGGAACCGCATCAACTAAAGTGATTTGGAGTTTGCAACCCTTTCTCAAATGTCTATCAAGTCCCAAGAATAAATTAATTTATGCAACTTAGTATGTATTGAGCTCTAAACCATGAGCTGTGGCCCACTGTGCAGCTCTATAGCTGTTGTCGCTACTTGAGTTGCCATTACGCGGCGCCGGCGAGTATGCTACACTTTTTGCGCTGTCTTACAGCGAGTGGAGAGAGCTGAAGTCACAATTTCAGTTGAAGTTGTGGAGGCTGTGTGTGGGTGTGTGTGTGTGTGTGTGTGTGTTCCAGTGAGAGCATTGAGCATTTTAATAACCGCAGCGAAGCGCACAACTCGTAGTGAAACGAGTGCCATAAATTATGCCACCCACCGGTCGAAAACGGCTGTAACATTGACAGTCACAGTCGTCCTGCGTCCTTTTTTGGCCGCCCGTCGAGCGATTTGTAATACACAACTCGCTGTGCCTCAGACCCAATTTTCAAAAAAAAAAAATAACTCACACTCACTTCGGATTGCGCTTTTGGTCGCACAGTGGGCGTCATTGACGCCCCCGTTTGATGCGTTTGATATATGGGTTGGAAATTTAAACTTTGCAATGCAGGAACAATTTTTAGCTGACAGCAGCCAGGACAATGCGCATCAATTTATATTGTGTAGCACTTGGCTGGTCAATGCGGCGTCATAATGCAATTGTATAATTTTCTTAAAAGCTCCACTCGTCCAATGGGGCCTGGCCGGCAGGTCTTGAGTGCACTTCAGCCAAAGAGCTGGCGCCGGCGATGGCAACGAGCAGCAAGGATCACAAAAGGCATTAGAGAAATTAAAAAGTGCCCCCACCAAATGAACAGTGGACAATGAACCCCAAATGGTCACACATTTGGTCAGTCGGCTACAAAACAATCAGCCAAATGGCGTGAACTGGTCGCATTTAAGGACATTTAGGAACATTTTAGTTAATTGAAACAAGCATCATGCAAATAAAAACTAAAGCGAATCGCATATATAAACAGAATTCAGCACAGCGCAAATCCTTGCCAGCCCGCGCCAGTCACGTCTCGGCCGTGTGGCTTAGGCCTTAAGCTACCTAAAGCGAAGGCGACGACCACCTGTGGCGGCCCGGACGCGACAGGGCCGCAATGTTGTTGCCGCCTCACGTCTCAGGTGCAAATGAAGATTTATAAAATTTGCAAATTGATTCAACGTGCAAGTGTTTTTTAATTTGCCCACCAAGGAAGCTCACTTAATCAAATTTTTATACGTCCTCTGGGGGCACACCCTCACACACACGCTCGCACATTCACACCCAAATGGCTGCGGTCGTCTCGATTTCACCCCTGAGACCGACTGCCAGGGCTCAGTAATTGAGGGTTAAACTAGCGTGTGCCCATCAACAGGTAATTGCTGTTCAGATTGCGATTTTTATGACAACTTGTGGCTTGTTAGCGTAGCATAATTTATGAGCTCTTGTCCCCACTGTCTCTATCTTTCTCTCTTATATTGGCATGGTAGAAATTTCAAAAACTCTCGCAATGAAATTAATCAATCAGCAAAAATATTCTCTGATCTGATGATACTAAGGGCTAAGCCTGGATATTAAAGCGTACTGTCAGCAGAACGTCGTCTAAAGTTAAAATCAAACTAGAAAAATATTTATTAAAATTACAAGTCCCCTTTTTTAAATAATAATAAGCTATGAAAATTAAAAAAATATTTTATGGAAATATATTACCAATTTACTTAAGGCACAAAAAAAAATCGATGGCAACCCATCTGAATCATTTCCAATCATAATATATCTTGAGCTCATGTCTTTACCAAGCATAATCATAATCCAACACAACGTTCTTCTTATAAAAAGTATGTAAAGAAAGTTCTCAAAAAGTGTTTGGTTTTTATCGAATTTTCAACTTGTGCGACACATTAAAAGGATTTGCCTGGCACGTGCACGCACACTTGAATGCCTTTCACGAAATACTACAAAAATATCGCAAAAGTATCTTGAAGTGCCAATTGAAACAAGAGCGAACGAAATTAGCATTTATTTTCAAAGTGCGTGTTTATTTAGCTATTTATTCAATTTTAATTTTAATTTTTTCTCTTTTTCTTTTATTTTATTTTTTCTTATCTGGCAATCAGTCATGCCTAAAGAGCAAATAGATGCGATTACATTTAATTGAATTTTACGCTGCGCCGCGACAAAGCAATGGAAAAATTGTATTAAATTACCAAAAAGAAAAATAATCAAAAATGCGCAACGCGATTGGAAAAAAGGCAAGAAAAAACGTGACACTACAAAATGTTGGCATATTCAAATTTCTCGAACCGTAAGCCGACAAAATTGGCAAGACATTTGGGGGAGGATTTGTTTGTGTTTTTTTTTATTTACTTACAACTAACTGTAAATTATATATTTAATAATGTTTAGGCATTTTACGAATTTAATATGCAGATATGTAATTGAACGTTGTTTCGTGAGTTTATTTTTACTTTGTTTTGGGAAAATTATTAAGACGAGCCAAATTATTCATAAAATAGCCCAATGAAAAATGCATTGCAGTAAATAGTTGTAATAGTAAATAAATAGAAATTTGTATCATAACTAATAAATGTTCGAAAATTTTGAACTCACCAATCATCCAATCAACCGAACATCCATACATGTATATCTGACCTCATTTCCCGAAAAATGCATAGCAGGGCGTCCAATAGTTGTTAAAATCCATTCATATACCTCTAAATTGGCTAGCCCTACTTGAATTTATAAGAATCGAGGAGGAGGGTAGCCGCTGGGCTTAAATAAATATGACAACATTTTTGTTCACATTACACTTTTAGTTTGAAGCCACTGTTAATCACACAAAATAATCAATGAATTTACATCAAAATTGGCTGGCCCTACTTGAATTTTTGAGAATCGAGGAGGAGGGCAGCCGCTGAGCTTAAATAATTATGACAACAAAAAGTTCACATTGCACTTTTAGTTAGAAGCCACTGTTGATCACACAAAATTATCATTGAATTTACATCAAAATTGGCTGGCCCTACTTGAATTTTTGAGAATCGAGGAGGAGGGCAGCCGCTTAGCTTGAACGATTATGACAACATTTTTGTTCACATTACGTTTTTAGTTTGAAGACACTGTTAATCACACAAAATAATCAATGAATTTACATCAAAATTGGCTGGCCCTACTTGCATTTTTGAGAATCGAGGAGGAGGGCAGCCGCTGAGCTTAAATAATTATGACAACAAAAAGTTCACATTACACTTTTAGTTAGAAGCCACTGTTGATCACACAAAATTATCATTGAATTTACATCAAAATTGGCTGGTCCTACTTGAATTTTTGAGAATCGAGGAGGAGGGCAGCCGCTTAGCTTGAACGATTATGACAACATTTTTGTTCACATTACGTTTTTAGTTTGAAGACACTTTTAATCACACAAAATAATCAATGAATTTACATCAAAATTGGCTGGCCCTACTTGCATTTTTGAGAATCGAGGAGGAGGGCAGCCGCTGAGCTTAAATAATTATGACAACAAAAAGTTCACATTACACTTTTAGTTAGAAGCCACTGTTGATCACACAAAATTATCATTGAATTTACATAAAAATTGGCTGGCCCTACTTGAATTTTTGAGAATCGAGGAGGAGGGCAGCCGCTTAGCTAGAATGATTATGACAACATTTTTATTCACATTACACTTTTAGTTTGAAGACACTGTTAATCACACAAAATAATCAATGAATTTACATCAAAATTGGCTGGCCCTACTTGAATTTTTGAGAATCGAGGAGGAGGGCAGCCGCTTAGCTAGAATGATTATGACAACATTTTTTTCACATTACACTTTTAGTTTGAAGACACTGTTAATCACACAAAATAATCAATGAATTTACATCAAAATTGGCTGGCCCTACTTGAATTTTTGAGAATCGAGGAGGAGGGCAGCCGCTTAGCTTGAACGATTATGACAACATTTTTGTTCACATTACGTTTTTAGTTTGAAGCCACTGTTGATCACACAAAATTATCATTGAATTTACATAAAAATTGGCTGGCCCTACTTGAATTTTCGAGAATCGAGGAGGAGGGCAGCCGCTGAGCTTAAATAATTATGACAACATTTTTGTTCACATTGCACTTTTAGTTAGAAGCCACTGTTGATCACACAAAATTATCATTGAATTTACATAAAAATTGGCTGGCCCTACTTGAATTTTTGAGAATCGAGGAGGAGGGCAGCCGCTTAGCTAGAATGATTATGACAACATTTTTTTTCACATTACACTTTTAGTTTGAAGACTTTAGCTGAGCTTAAATAATTATGACAACAAAAAGTTCACATTACACTTTTAGTTAGAAGCCACTGTTGATCACACAAAATTATCATTGAATTTACATCAAAATTGGCTGGTCCTACTAGAATTTTTGAGAATCGAGGAGGAGGGCAGCCGCTTAGCTTGAACGATTATGACAACATTTTTGTTCACATTACGTTTTTAGTTTGAAGACACTGTTGATCACACAAAATTATCATTGAATTTACATAAAAATTGGCTGGCTCTACATGAATTTTTGAGAATCGAGGAGGAGGGCAGCCGCTTAGCTAGAATGATTATGACAACATTTTTTTTCACATTACACTTTTAGTTTGAAGACACTGTTAATCACACAAAATAATCAATGAATTTACATCAAAATTGGCTGGCCCTACTTGAATTTTTGAGAATCGAGGAGGAGGGCAGCCGCTTAGCTTGAACTATTATGACAACATTTTTGTTCCCATTACGTTTTTAGTTTGAAGCCACTGTTGATCACACAAAATTATCATTGAATTTACATAAAAATTGGCTGGCCCTACTTGAATTTTTGAGAATCGAGGAGAAAGGTTGTAACTATCACTTCTACATTTTAAAGTGAGTTAATGTCCGTTGGGTTTTTTAACTTTTGTAACCATCTCTTAAATATTATATATTTACTGACTGTCTCCATCTTTCTCGAATTCTATCCTCCCGCTCTCGATCCCGCTCTTCTCTTCTACTTTTCCACTCTCTTTCCCGATTTTTACTTTTCCAAGCTATATTAGTTTTTTATGCTCTCTACTTAGTGCCCTTCTCGTTTTACCTTTCTGACGCTCACTTTCTTTGTCACTCTCTTTACATTCTCTTTCGCTCCCTTTTGCAAACACAAGTTTTTTTACTTTATTTTTATCTTACTCTTAACGAAATTTCGTTTACTTCCTTACTTTATTAATTACTCATGTCAAATCTAGGTATCTCTCTTGAACGTTCTGCCCCTTACTTTATTCCCTCTCATTATTGAATACTGAGTACCGAGTGCTTAAAGTTCCGAGGACTACGAGCTCTGAGTACTTCGAGAACTAGTACATCGAGTAGTGAGTAATCCGAGTACGGTTTACTTCGAAGACCGAGTACTTCGAATAATATCTGTTATTTGTTATTTATATGTTTTTTTTATTAGTGGTTCATAATATTAATCTAATTTCTGGCTCCCTGTTTATCTTACAATCTCTAGCCGTATACCAGCTTACTTACTTCGTATCAGTACTGCAGCTAGTAAAATATAAATCTATAAAGACTTTTTGAATTCTTGCAATATTTTCAGCACGGTTCCCAGTGCTCCAAAATTAAATTAAGTATGCTGAAAACATTTCAATTAGAGTCAGATTCAATTAATTACGAGGTAAATGATGACTGCATTTTGTGTCTATTATGAGTTTGTTTAACCAGCTTAAAAGCGAACAGAGACGGAAAAAAACGTTTTCAATTTAGTGACGCAACAACAATAACTAGAACAACCAGAACAACTGAAGGGACATCAAGCGGCTGGCAAGGACGCCCGAGAAATTCAATTAACCTCGAGTGGTGGCTGCAGCATTGTGTGGTATAAAACAAAATGCTTTGGCTTTGGCTACGTGGAGGCATTCGCATTCACACCTCATCAACATCAACAGCAAGAGCACAACATCATGATGGTAGAGAGGGGATGAGATATGGTATGACTTATAGCCACACCCATTCACCCACACAGCTCAGCTTCTGTTCCCTCTGCCCAATTGTTAATAAAGCCCACGTTTGTTTGCCTTAACGCCGTACAGTTTAACCCCTCGCGCCGCCCCTGAGTTAGCCTCAGGTTGGCAGCCTCATATTAAACTTGGCCTGCGGTTGTCAATAAAAAGTGCTCCGAACTTGGTCTGATTAAGAGCTGAGCAAACAAATCAGTTCCTGCTGACGTCTTGTTTACTTAGCCAGTGTCTAAACAGCTCTCTCGACTGTATTTTAAACTGTTTGCGATATGTATCTGAAGGACCTCTATCCCTGCTATCATGTGGCTCAGTCTTGTAATTAACATTTCAATTTTGTGCTCGTATTTACGTATTGTACACGCCCCCGTCAAGCATCCAACATCATCAGGCAAATGTATCTCTTCTGCTTCAGCTATGCTCTGGACCCTCTCCTGCTTAGAAATTGCTTCGGCAATAAATAAATTGTTTTTCAGGGCGATTCCTGCTCCCGTTTTTGAGTTTTGTGTTTTTTTTTTGTTGACATATGCAAATTTTTGTTGCCTGCACGCGTTCGACAAAGTTTTTTGATTGCTTTTAAGCGCTACACTCGCTATTTGGGGTAGTACCAGGAGGTACAGGCCAGGCTATTTGCCAGCTTGTAGGTAGTTCAATAAGCTGTGATTGTTTACTCTTTGCTGGTTTTATTACTTGTTTGCCAGCCTGAGTATAAACTAAATGCAGATGGATCGCATTTATGCAAATATATTTCTATAGGAATGCCAAGGAGTGCATACTCTTGTTTTTTCCTTCTATATTTTCGACATTTACATTAAATATTTAGGAGCTTATATATCATACGACGATTTTCTGAATAATTGCCAAAGAAACCCTCTCATCAAGCTCCATCTACGATCTGGTATGCCTTATTCCATTTCATTATATTCCTTGTATTCCTTATATAGTTAAGCAAACGGCTTGAACCTTTTGAGAATTACGTCTCAAGAAAAAGTAGTACCAATTTTTTTCATCTTGAATGGAGCACTAGACTCATAATGAAATATTGATAACCAAAGATTTTAATGAACACAACTCGAATATTACCATCTTAAATAGATTAACTAAATTTAATGAAGTTTCAAATTTGTGTGTCTTTAAAACGCATTTTAAAGAACAGTTTTTTTAGGCTCATGAACTAATTTTAAATAACCTTAAGTAAATCACTTTTTCAATAAAAACTTAATTTCGAAAACATTTTAATAGTTAGTTAGTTAAGTACATTTATTTCATATATGCATACATTCATTAATTTAATATTTATTGTATTAAAATCACGTTTCTTGTTTAATATGATATAGTCAGCTTTTCATAGTTATTAGATCGATATGAATTGATATGATGTTGCTATGATATTCTTTAGGTTCAAATATGTAACGAAGAACTAGCAGCACACAGTTCTCGAATGTGCCAAATGGCTAGACAAGCGGCAGACCTTGGGATCCTTACGGCATCCTTTGATATCGGCGATACGAAGCGAGGTCAACACTCCAAGCATCTGGCAGCTGCAGCTGCCCGCTGGACTTCTTGGATTGGCATCTTCTCCAGCCACGGCCCGTACTGGAGCTCCGTCGGCAAAGCTGTTGCCAGAACGCGCGCCCGTTCCAAGCCATAGTCTCTGGTCTGTCTACCTCCCACCGTGGTGGCTGTGGTTTGTGTGTGGCGCCAGTCACACAGCCTGTGCTTTTATAGCTGCCGTCAACGCGTTCGAGCTTTCTCTCTACCCCCCCCACACACACACACAGAGAACTTTCGTGTTGAGTTTCTCAGTGTTGAGTTTTTGAGGGGGCGCACAAAAGGCAACAATTGTAGCTGCCTAATTGGGTGTACGAGTATATAGATATGTGAGGTTAGGTAAACAGTTTGCCTATATAAGGCCCGCAGCCCATCAGCGGGTATGTGTATGTGTGTATGTGGATACGCAATAGGAGGAGCTACAATTTAATTTAGCAATGGCTGCCCAAAAATTTCGCTGTGCTCAGCCTTAAATACGAAAATTAATTTTAAATACCAAACTGAAATAATTTTCTGAAATATCTTCACTATATAATCCTTTGGCCTGCCTGTGCGCAAGTGATTAAAGCCATTAACGAAATTATCAGGGATTATAAAGATTTGTACACAATTTGATGCGCTGCCACGTCAGGGCGCCCTACAAGCCCCCCCACCATTCGACGAGCCGGCAGCAGAGACAATGCAATTTACCGTAATCCAGGGGCTTCAATTAATGGAGTGTCGACGTCGTCGCACCCGAAAGGGGTTGCTGCCTGTCTGCCTGCCTGCTTACCACAAAGGGCGCGCGACGTGGCTGCGCACAATGAAACACTGAAGCCCGTTCCCGTTTCCGTAACCCCTTTCCAAACACCCCACCCCTGTTTCAAAGTCCGTGCTAAAAAACCGTATAGTTGATAAGACAATGAAATGCATTAGGCTCGTCGTTGCGTCATCTTGGGAGAATTGGCAACGTCTTTCCTCTAAGGGGTTTATCGAGTTTATGAGTAGTTGGCTTTTTTCCAGTGTAGTTTTTACCAAAAAACTTGACGTCAGTTCCGAAATATTTGTATTGCATACTTTGTGGCACGCGGCACGTTTAACAACTAAAACTGGGCATGATACAATGTATGCCCAGTTCCTTAGCTGGGCTGTCAACATTTATTGTGAGAAATGAGAGAATTTCAATTTAGTGAGCTGCCCACACAAAAAAGGTCAAAGGCTGTGAAAATTTGGAAAAATGCCAACAGCAAATGATGTTAAGTGAAGAAAATAATTTATCAGCGAATATATGTTACTGAGTGTGAGTTCCTACATGTTCAAGTCAAAGTTCATGTGAGTTGAACAAAATATTTTTATTAAAATGCTAAAGTTAAAGCGCGCAATGATTCCGTATTGCCAGATATGCAAGAGTATTACAAGATGACAACTATCACCGTCATGTCAAATATTTACGAGGCAGCTAAGGTCAGAAGCTCATAAGATATATGAATTGATTTGAAGAATCTTTTAAATTTGGTTTTTTTGTTCAACACATATCTTTATATATAATAGTGTCAAAATTTCCGGATTGATTATCCGATTCCCAAGAGGTTCGGATCCCTTTTCCGTGGCTTGGCCTCCAGATCGATTTGGCATCTAAACATTATTCTTGTTTTTAGGTTTTGTCTAATTTTTTTTAAACTAATGTTATTTTTTCGATCGGTTTCAAACTTATTTTCAAAGTCCTTTGCAAGAGCTTATTTAATATTCCTACCTGGGGCAAGGCCGGGTTTTTCCCGCTAGTAGTACACTTATATTCCTACTATACACTTGAGTTTGCTATAGTTGTCAAGGCAATACTCTAAAAAAACAACACACATCTATACAGCAAATACAAAACTACAAAACTTTTCATAACACGAAGATTATTTTAATAAATCAAATTCAGAGCTTTGAACAGAAATGGAAGAAGCCGCAGAAACCGCAGCTGAAGTACTTTCTACAGAGGGGGTTGTCGATCCGGCTGAGAATATTAAAATAGATTTAATCGATACTCCTATTATTGAAATAGAAGATCTCCAATCTGAAGCACCGCCTACAGATGATGAAGCCCCGAAATCACTCGATGAGCAGACCATGGAGGCCGGTGCCGAAGGTGACACGGAACTCAGTGTGGAACCTCTTACCAAATTGGAGCAAGAGAAAAAGAGGAAACGCGAGGAGAGGCGCCTAGCGAACGAACGATTGAGAAGGCATTACAAAGAACCTGACGAAGCTGAAAAACCTGCGAAGCTTGCAGAATATGAGTCTGAAGAGCCTAAAGAGACTAGCCGAGTTCACAGATCCACGAGTAGAATATACATTACAGAACGAACATCTGCCGAAATAGAGGAAGATACCGAAATTCTAAAAACCGCATTACTATCTGAGGATAAGGACAAACAGGCTATGGATGAACTCAATTCGGATGAACCATCATCCTCGGACGAAGAAGAATATAGGCGACGTGCGGTTTCGGTGTCATTTAAAGGTGAATTCTTGCAAAATTTCTTTTTTCCAAGCCTATCGGATATTTCGACCGAATCAAGCGAGCAATTATTGTCGTTGCGCCGTACACTTACGGAAAAAGACGATATGTCCCTTGTCGATGAAGGCCAATTTGTTGATCCACTGACTGGCGAACCGATAAAGGAGCCCATTGAAGCAGAAGCTGAACAAGTAGCTGAAGTATCAGCAGAAGTGGAAGAAGAAACATCTTCGTCAAGCAGCTCCTTTGATTGGCCCTTCCCCTTAGAAGACGAAGTAGCTGCTCCGGTTAAAACAGATGTTGCCGAATATGCTATGGAAATGCTATTGGAGATACATTCGGGAATTCGGCCCACAAGTGCCGAGTCGACAACAGCACAAGAGGCACAGCGCCTGGAACGCGAGAATCGACAAATTTGTATAGATTTTCTCTACAAAGCTATCGACGATGCTGTCGATGCTGCCGAGTATGTTGATCCCGATGTACTCCTCGCAAGCAAGCTGGATAAACATAAAGTGATCACAGATCTGCATCGAATCATTGCGGATTGCCTGGCCGCCAAGCATTTTAATCATGCTCTATCCAGCAAAATGTACGAATATTATCGCCGCGTTGGTCAATTTCGTGTATTTGATACCCTGCCACGCCATGTGGAAGAGGAGGAATTTAGGCGACTGAGGAACGCATTGTATATGCTAGATCATTTCAGGCACAAGGCTAATGAAACCAAGAAACTTAATCAATTGCTATTGGCCAGCGTGACAATGGATCTGAATTATGTGCGCAACATAGCGTTGTCAACAGTCGAATCACTGGAAAAATGCATTCGTAATACCCTGTCGCGCAAGGATCTACAGTTTTTGCCTCGCATTATCGAACAGGAGCTGCGACAAATGCAAAACGTGCGCAATGAGATTAGCGATAATCGCCTCTGGCTCATAACCAGGCAACATACTTTGGGCAGAGTGATCGAGGTGGGTCAACTCACACAAATTGCCGATAAATGTAGGGTATAATTAAACAATATAGCCATGTCTTCCTGTCTGTCCGTCCTTTCGTCCATACCATCTTATCAAATGCCTAATGTCCATCGATGCCTCGTTTTTTGAATCGATCTTGAAGTCCGATTTGATGAGCATATCTCAGAATATCTAGAATATACAACATATACATATATACTGCAAAATTTAGGCCTTCGTTTTGTTCCTACAATGAGTGTACATTTTTAATAGTCATCCATTCCTGAACCATTCCAAAATAATCGAATTCTTTTGATACATTTGGTTTCCTTCTTAGCGCAAACGCAACTTTGATCAAATCACACCAGACTTGACCATGGATGAATTTTTGAATGCACAACGCGATGTAACAGCCCTGGGCACAAAGGTCGAAGGTAATTAAAGGCAGTTATCAAAGCTATTAAGCATACTCTTCACTAACCCAAAATCGTTAATACAGAACGCAATCGGGAGTTGAACCGAATGCGTGATCGTTCTACCAAGCACGTGCATCAGTTGGCCTTTATAAGGGAAAAGACAAGCATGATATCGGTTACGTTGATCAATCACAAACAGATTTTGCGCCGTAAGCTCAGGAGACAAAACGAATTGCGTGACCAGCTGCTCGAGGCGAAGCTGCGGCATACCCGCCTAACGGCCCAGATGAGGGAGCTGCATGTGAAATGCGGCCTGCTCTATAAGCCAGCGCTGTTGCACGATTATGACGAGACCGTGGAAGCAGTCGAAATCAAACGGGAGAAAGTCAACAAATGTAGGATTATCGTTAAAGATTTGGAGGCACGCATTGGCAAGTTCGAGGAGGTGGCACGTTCCACTATCACATCCCAAAGAATGCCAATGAAAAAACTACGAAAAGTTCCGCTAAGGAATCAACCTTAGTACTAACATTTTTAGACACTTATAGTTTTATACGAGCTCTAGAGTCTACATCTTCTACAATTAATATAAATAAAGCAAAACCCAATAAAAACGCAAACTAAGCGTGTTTTTTTCTGGGCTTTCGGTAAAACCCCTCCCCGATTGCCACCCACTTGAAAGTTTCAGCTCCATAGCAACAATTTTCATATATATTTCTTCCTTTTCTTTCTTGCCAATATTGCACGACTTCATGACGCTAAATTAACTGCCAGACATTTCTATTAGCTGTTCATGAATGCCAAGCCAATCTACTCTTAATATATGCATGATGCTGTCCGCCTGATAACACTTGAAGTATGCCAGGGACGGGGCTGAGCAGGGGTCACGTTGCTGCGACAACGTCCCCTCTCTTATCAATGCGGGCACGTGGTAAGCTTCCTGACTAAATGAATTTAATGAAATGGAAATGTGCAGTCATGAGTCTAGAGATGACTGTTGTTGACTGTAGTACCTGCTATGAGAATTGAGATGGAGTATAAATTTCGAGCTTGATTCTAATACTAAACACTTCCGCAGCTACAGATAAAATACTCATGAAGCACATTTAAATATCAAAAATCATATTTGAAACAAAAAAAACGGCTTCATACAACACGACGAAAACTAAATACCCTTGACTAAGATGAGATTTTATTGGAAAAGCTTGGTTGACTGTTCGAAAAGCGGCAATATATTATTACCAGCAGTCCAATACGAAATTCTTCGATCTCCTAGATCGATTTATATTCCCTCGTTAGTGTTTGTATTAGAATAAAGTTAACAATAAATATTTATATAAATTTAATTTCAGGTAATAACAATAAAATTGAAATAAAGCAAACAATTGTAAAAAAAAATACTCTTATTATGGAAAGAATTTAAATGAATCTTATCACAAATCCCTTTTAATATCATATGGACTCGAATTTAACAGCGGATCACGCATTCGGAGTTTTACACTCGTAAGAAACTTTCTGTTGCATACAACAAGGCGCCGGCAATTGCAACGGCAGCAAGAATATGCCCTGGACCTGAACTGCCTGCCGCCTGCTCCCCAAGTAACTTTTCACACATGAACGCACACGGAATACCCCTAAGACGGCCCCATTTGGGGTGTTCCGTCTGTTGTTGTAAATCACAGAGTGAAACCGAAACCGTTAACGTGTTGCGGTTACGCTGCTGACTTTGCTGTGGCAAAAAGGAGAAAAAAATATATAAAAAACGAGGCGAGTCATTCCATTTGGGCTTTATTAAATGCGTCAGCGGGCGGGGGCAGGCCCACAGGAGGGTTAGCTGTGGAAGAGTGTGTGTTTGCGCGTATGTGTGTACAAAGCAGAGCAATGTCCTGTCTCACATCTTTTCATTGCGAATTTCAGTTTTTTTTCTAGCTGTTTTGCTTTTTATACTCCTTCAAGATGTAAAAAGAGTATATTCGTTTTGTGCACACTACAGCATTTTTTTTTTTTGAGACATGAAACTTCGTCCTCTAATGGCTGGGCAAAAGGCCAAAATCTAGATTTACCACATTTTTAAAGCTATTGGAACGAGCACTACTCTATTCTATTTTGATCCCAAAATACTCGGAAATTCCATATTTCCTAATAAACTTGGCCTATGAACAGGCATAACGCAGTCGATTACAGCCGATTGCAATAATGCTTACTTATTTTTTTGTGGAGTTTATCAAACGTCTTACATTTGTTTTGTTGTAAAATGGGTGCACACACACACAAGCACACATATAGGCAAACTTTGTGATTTAATGATTGCTTTTGAGTGCCGAATCTATGCGCCAGGCAAGTGGGTTTGCTGCTCCAGTTTCGCATTTCAACTCAAGACATACGAAATTGTTTCAATTTCTTTTCAGTGACCTTTTTTTTTTTTTTTTGTATACCCTAATAGAGGGCATTCGAATATTGTCATGAAATGTGTAACGCACAACAAAATAAACAATATATATATTCTTAAAGATAATTGATAGCCATATATCCGTCCGCATATCAGTCTCATGATAATATGGGACCACTACATTTTTTTAAAGAGCTTGATTTTCGGAGCAAATTGGACAAGTATATTATCTGGCTGATATGGCAACAAACGAATTTAACAAGGGTATAAATCACTTCTATGCCATGTGATCAAAAGGATATTCAATCTTCGATGTTAGAATGGGCCTTTTTTCCTGTTTCTTTTCTTTTGCGGCTTGGGCAAAGATTTGTCAATTCCTTGACACAATGATGCATAACGTTATCTGAGATTTCAGACAGAGAGTGAGAGAGAGAGAAAGGGGGGAAAATAACAACAACAGCTTTTGCGAATTAATCTTCTTAATGTTTGTGCCTTTGGTTTAAGGTTTTCCAGCATCCATTTCCCAGGCACTAAGTAGAGCGCTTAGGTTTTTCAAATCACATAATGCGATTGTTGATTGTTGATGAGTAGCCTTAAAGTGAGCCGGAGTATGGGCTGGAATGCACAGACGAATATCTCTTTGGCACTAATTGCTGCACTTGCCGCATGTTGCATGCCCCACGGCCAGCGGCTGGGCCCGTTGGCCATGGCTGGTAGCCATGGGCACGCATAATCATATCAGCTTCCACACGATTTAACAGCGACGCAATTGAGTTGCGTTCGCATAGCAACTGCTGCTCCAGCTCCAGCTCCAGTTCCTTCATGTAGTTCCTTGCCCATTGCACTTGGCTCTGTCTGGCTGACTTTTCCACACAGTTTCCATCTTTTCTTATTTTCACTCAACACTTTTTTGGCTTCGCATCGATTGCATGACAAATTGCGCAATTGCTGGCTAAAAGCATTGAAGAACCATTCGACAAATATGGGTTGTGTATTGTACCTACAAATTGCAGAGAATCGCCAGCCCTCTCTCCCTCGCTCTCTCACTCTCTCTCTCTCTCTCTCTGTCTCAATCAATATCTATCTCTTTCTCCATTCTGTTATCCTGCGGTGCTTCCTGCTGCCATGACACTTAAACTGCGATAAAAATTCCGTTCGATAAGCATTTTGTTTGTACTGTGGCATGAGCTCTGCTCGGATTGATATAAGCTGTTGTTGCCCCGCAAACACAAGTTGAATGTTATAATCGATGTTGGGATGTTATGGATGTATGGATGATAGGCAAACATAAGTTGTTCATACCATAACTCAATTTTTGAGAGATTATTAATATGGCAGCTATATAATATAATGATCCACATACGCCGCCCGCAACGGTTGTTCGCTCCATCTACTATCTCCTTGACAAAATTATAAGAAGTTTAAAAATATCTGGTGTATTTTTGGACGGCTGGAAATGTTTATTGTTAGCCGAAAATACTCTTAGTTAGCGGAGGTCCTTGTCTGAATGCACTTTTCCTGCTCGCTATGAAAATAATTCTAAAAAAAAAAATGATAAAGAGCTACGGAAGACAATGGTATATAGTAGAATTGGTTTGCAGATGCTGTACCATTTTATGCCTGCCTCCGGTTATGATTGTTGTTTTTGGCGAATTTCAATGCCATTTTTGTTGCCAAAGACTCCGCGTTCAACCAGCCAGGCAGACAGGCGCAGTCATAATACTCATTATGAACGGCTTAAGCGATTTCCCCAGGGTGCGCACTAAGCCTCTTCACAGTGATTGAGACGCCCATACACCCACTCATACACACACACACACACACACCCACACACATATGGGCTTTATTTATGCATATGCATACGATAAACACAGACACACACACACTTGGATTCTATTTATTTTCTTCTTTTTTTTTGTAAAAGCAATCTGAATGAAATCCGATTTGCAGCGCATACTACAAACTCAGCAAATTGGCAGCTGGAAAAGAGGAGGAATTATTATTTGGCCACATCAATCAGCTGGGGAGTTCATGTCCGTCTCTGTGTGAGTGTGTGTTCCTTGTCATGTTTAACAAAACATGAAAATACGTAATAATTAACGTTTTATAATTTTTTTTCGAAATTTCTGTCATTTTTTTATGCGGCACGTGCTGCCCAAATGGACAACGGCGTCGCTTTGCTAATGAAAATAATCTGTCATCAAAGCCAATGATAAAGCCACCCCCAATATGTGCGAACAGGTGTGCCAGAGTACCCCTGCCCGCCGCGGTTCCAGCCACGTACAACATCAATTACTGTGTCAAGCTCGCCCCCTTGATGGATATGTTAACGTTGACTTCAAAACTATTAACTCAATATAAGAGTAAATTGTCAGGGCTAGAGAAAGGGTTGCGTTTGCAGGAAATTGCATTTGTGCGGCCAAATCAGATAACATTCAGCCACGAAATGCTGACGTCCTGGGCCAGGATATAGCATTAAAAGCGCATCAGGTTGGCCGAAAGGCGCATCAGCAGCGGAAACTGTTGCTGTAATTACATTGGACGAACAATCAAGTAGCAAAAAAAATATCCATCAAATATACGAAACTTGAGCATGGTGAATTTCAAATGCTCTTACACCCTTAAATAAATTAAATAAAATATTTTGTATAAGGTCTATATAACACTGAATGGAATTACTTTAACTTCGTGGAAGTCCCTTGACTTTTTTAAATATGATTGTGTTCTTTGAATTAATATTCTCATAAGTTCCATTATACTTAATCAATAATTTATTAAACAAAATAAAAATATAGCTAATATACTCTGTAATACACTCACCTGAAGAACTGGTCATTTGCGCCCCATTCACCCATGCCGCAGCGTTCATCTTGGCATTTGCCCCATGGCCTATCCTTGACTTTAGCTTTGTTTGCGTCATTAAATTAAATATCCTGCTTTTGCCCCCGACATCCAAAGGGACCTTTTGCTGAGTCCTTGCCTGTGGACACACAATGCGCGCAATTTCTGTCATTTCCTTAATAGAAATCTTATCTTTTGTGACGCCTACGCGTTCAAGTCTGTACAGAAGGCTCCGGCGCTAAGCCGGATATCGCACCTTTGACATCTGCCCGCGGGGAGCCGGGGTGCGCTTAACTGGACATTATTGTTGCCCGATTTGTGTGCGTGTGTGCGTGTGTGTGTAGCTGAGTAGCCCAGCGCCTTAAATTTAGTGTGACATTCATATATTTCGGAACAAGCTCTTTCGTACACCTCGAAGTAATAAAATTCAATTACTTTTATAACTAAGAAATAGGCTGAAAATAGTATAAATCTCCTCTCTCTATTTCTTTCTAATGAGCTGCTGCTCCGTCAAGGTCGTCGCCTGCTTTAACAAGCAGACAAACCATTCGCCGCTCAATGATGCACTGGGCCCATTTCCGGATGAGGTCATAATGTCGGCGCTGGATCGCATTCTGTACTACTCAGGCGCAACCAAAATATTCCACCAACTCGATATGGCTGCCATGCGTAATGAAAGCACAGACACACATCAATTTGCTTGCTGTATCAATTGCATTTCCATATTGCAGGGCAAAGCTTGGCTCCTGCTCCGACAGCGGAGGCGACAGCTTGTCCGGCATTGTGTTCCAAGGTCAGTGGCTCTTCTGTTTGCAGCGGAATAGGCGGCTACATTGGGGTGTCTAAGTGCAACAGCAACAGCAGTTTGAGTAAATATGCCAGTGCCAAGTCAACGACCAAGTGTAAATCGCCAACCGTATCCTGCACTCCACCAAGGACGTCCAGTCAGAGATCCAAGTGTACGATAGGCAAGCCCGTAAGCTCTCCACGACCGCGCACACCACGCGTGGACTTTGCCCATCCGGTGAGCGATACTCGTCAGGTCGCTGGCGGCCCAACCATACCGGAGCGCATGAAGCGCTCGCTCTCGACCTGCTCCATAGCATATCGTCGCCTGAAGACCAAGCTGCATGATTGTGGACAGAAATGGCTATGGACACGCTTGATGCGTTCCGAGAATGGCTGCCACGTCTACGAGGTGTACAAGAACTCGGATGTAGAACGAGCCCCTTGTAAAATGTCGGGTGCCAAAGAACCAGTCATCCTCTTTCTGGTCATGCCCAACGGCCAAGTCACGCCATTCGAATCGCTGTCGACCTACTAGAGATTGGAGGCACAGATGATATTAATGTTTGATATTATGGGTTGAAGCATAGCTATTCGAAATTTCTGTATGCCTATGTGCACATCAATAGACGTTTTTAACGTGTTGTAGCTTATACAAAATAATTTTTATAATCATTATTTTTTAACATCTATATGGTGCGGATGGCTACTAAATTTTTAAAATTGCGAAATAAATTAAGCAAGTTGAAGGGATAAGATTAATTAAAATATTTTTTTATAAAAAATATAATATTACTTTCATTAGTTATCTCAGTTTCCATAAATTATTTATTCTTTAAATACTATCACAGCTGCCGCTAGGCAATCCGAATACCCTTGCGGAATAGTACATAGACCGTACCGGTGCTAGCCAACATGTAGAGCATTAAGATTGTAACACATTCTGCACTACTACGATTTGATGGCTCCAGCGTTAAATTGACAAGGCCCGTGAGTAGATTCGAAAGCATAAAATAAGTTAATCCGTTCATATTAATTGTCTCCGCAAAGGCAGGCAAACGTGTTGGCTTAGCTAGTTTAGGGTCAGCTGCTAATGACGCATCGGCTTTGTCTTCAAGCGGCTCCGCCATTGGCACCATCAGACAGAACTCAAACAGGAACGAGTATAAAATCAGCATTGTCGCGCCTACGCTAAACGACCAGAGCACATAGCCGGCGTTAAAGGTCACACGCGCTATCCCAAACAGAAAGACACTGACAAACACTAGTGTCCAGGCTGTAATGACCACGAGCAACATGTTGCGCAGCTTGGCAATGAACTGAGAATAGTTGAGCTTATCCTTGGACTTATACCACTCGCCACCCCATATGCTAAGCAGATAGAGCGCTACGCAGCCAGGCAGAGCGCTGAGCCCTTCACGATTTGCCCGTAGAAAGCCAACGCGATCCGCATCCGACATGACAAAGTCCGAGAGACCCAGCTGCAACAGAAGCTCGTGGAGCGCCAAAATAGCTGTTGAAAATTGGTTTAACTAAAGCTGAAGCAATGGCAAACTGCATACTCACCCATAGATAGCGGGAGTAGTTGCTGATCGGAGCGAGCCAGCAGACTGGCAAGGCTGCCAAGGAGCTTTGTGAATCCCAAGCAAAAGAAGGCATTCAAATGCTGGCCATACTCGTGCTCATCCTGATGATAGTCTATCATTGTGATGATAGCAGTGCGTAACAAGCCTAGCGCCAGCAATTGCACTACCACTCTGAACTGCCTTTTTAGATCACCGAAATACCGGGAACGATGCGACACCACACCCATCGCCATGACAAACATGCCAATGCCCACATCCATTAATGATGCTCCATATCTACGACTTTTCCGCCAATCAACGGGAAAAGCCTTAAAATCAATTGCCAAAATGGCACAACCAGTGCACACATACGCCGTAGTGCGCACCAGCGTAATCGCCGAAGGCCTCTGACCAACCTTGTAACAGTGACTAGTCGCGGCTGCAGAAGCTCTGCCACAAATGCCAGAGTGCCAAAGCAGAAAGGCAATAAATATGGCAGCTAACACACAAAAATATTTATTATAATCACTGGTCACTGTATTGCTGCATATTGTGGGCGTGGCAATCAACAGGAACTCCATTAGGAAGCGTCGCGTTGAACGCAGTGGCAAATGTTGGCAAAGCTGCTGCGATAACGTGATGCCTATCAATGTTGGTAATATTGCAGTCATTACATGTAGGCCAGCTCGCAGGGAATTCCAGGAATCCTTATCTGGACTGTTTATCAGAGATGCGACATCCGTGTGGGAACTGCAAGTTTTTTGCTGCATGTAATTTTGAAATATGTGTAGCGGAGCTGATGGAAAACATTTATCCGATGTAACGTAAGCATCATAGTGATAAATTTGATTATAGCCAGATTCTAGAGCACTTGCACCAAACATAGTTAAGGAGCTGGGCTCAAACTGCAATTCACGTAAATTTTCAATTGTGCTGCAAACATATAAAAAACATATGCTTTTGCAAGAGTTGCCACAGTGCAGCGAACATTCCCATCGATAGTAATATTGCTCGATTATTTACTAGTATCGATACATTTGATTTGCAAGCGTTGCCACATCACATTTAAATATATCAATTGAGTTGCCACATTGAAAGTTCGCGTCATAATACATGTTATCGATGGTCGGTATAATTGTATCGATAATACCAGTTCAAGTTTAAATAAATAAATGCATTGGTTAAACAAATCACAAAGCGCTAAACTATACTAAAGCTCATCATGCTGAGTTGTGGTTGTCGACTGAGGAAAATCCTTGTGGGCGCGCACTTTTGAAGCCGCCTTAGCAACTAGATGTTCAAATTCATCCACATCAAAACGATAGTTTGTAAACTTGGCATGCGCGCCACCCTCCGGATGATGACCCTCATCTTGGGGATATACGAGATCAGGTTGCTCCCAGGTGACATAATGTACGCCACGCAGACGTGCCAGATCCTTGTAACAATTGGGATCCTCGCAGTTGTACAGCTCAAACAGGCATGCCCAATTTGGCAGAAAGAGCAGGTGCGTCAGCCCAGCCCCATGCATGCCAATCAGTATATCTGAATTTCGCGTGATTGCCAATTGCTCGGTAAAGGAGAGACTATGTAGGCAAATTATAGTTAACTACAGCTTAAGGAATATTTAATTAAAAAATTACCGTTCGTATGAGACACGCTGCACAACGTACTCCTCATTGGCCTCCAACTGGGCTAGCAGATCGTTCTCGTTGAGCACCTGCCTGTACTTTGTGCGACGCGATAAATATGTTATACGCAGCTTACGCTTTGGCAGTGGCGGCTCGAAGGGTATCTGCAGGCGATGCAAAATGAACTCGGAGAAGGCGCGAAACAAACCGCTGTTGGAGCAGCCCTGAATCTAGAAGTGCAATGGACATTATGGATTAGATTTAAATAGGCACTATGGTTAACATGAAGCACTTACAATGGGCGTATTGTAAAACAATCCAAAGATCATGCGTGGGAGCAACGGCAGCACGACATTCCGGAAGCATACACGCTTGCCCTGCACATCGCTCAGCGTCCAAATGGGTCGCTGTGTAAAAGCCTTAAAGGTATCCCGGAACGGTGAATCATATGGATAAGTCTCCCATATGATTATCTGCACATCTGTGTTAAACGCAGCCGGATGCGATTGATTCACAAACAACGAGGCATACAAATTGAAAAAGTCACAAAAATGATGATACATATTGTACGTGGCATCGATTTTCATGATGAATGTGGGCACATTCAAAACCAGATCACAGGCGCCACTCTCCAGCAGCGGCTGCGGCAGCACATCGAAATTTCGCAGCTCCGGTCCCCACGATTGAAGCGCAGATCCTATGTGCTCCATTTCGCTATTGAGACGTGTGCGATTCAGCTCACAATGACCCAAAATCTGGCCGGGCTTCAGCACATCCATATGATAGCGAATGCGCTCCTTACGCTGCGGCAGATCGCGCAGATCGATGAGCAGATTTCGACCACGACAAAAGCGTAGATACCGAGTGCATTCTAGCGATGAGTCTGTCAGATATTTAGGCAAGCACTGGGGCATCAGTTCGGCGAGCTGCTGTTGTATAAAACCAAAGTCCGCCTGATAGTAGAAGGTCTGCACCTGCGCCTCCTTGCTCTGCACCCAGCCA